GGGGTTGCGCAAAATTTTCAGACAATCTGGTTGAGGCTCACATGCAGGTCTAGCTTAAGTGTGGTTTGCTACTTCTTTCTCATGAGACATCTATCGTCCTTTTCTCTTCTTCTTGTTTGTGTTTGTTACTGTCTTGCAATACCTCTAATCTTCGGCACTTATTCATGACCTTACTGTGTTGCAAGTGTAACTAAAACTAAAATATCAGCCACAGGCAGTTCTGTTTGTACATTATTGAGATGTATACATCTAGATTTCTAGTGTGGTTTGCTCCTTCTTTCCTATCAAACTACTATCGTCTTTATCTCCCCCTCCTTCTTTTTTATGTTTGTTACTCTCTTGCAACACTTCTAATCTGTGGGTGGTTGACGGGTGTTCTGGTATGGTTTGCTACTTCTTTCCTGTGAAACGACTATCGTCTCTATCTCTGTAATTGTAAAGTGCATAGAGCATGCTTTAGAATGTGTGTATGCGCTATATAAATGTAATGATTATTAGTATTATTATTGTTTTGATTATGATCTTTATTATTATGACTATTATTAATATTATTATTATTACAGTATACCACAGATAGGTTGATCACGAAAGACCTGAAATCACGAACCTGCCGAACTGTCTGCGGTCCCGTTTTTTTTCTTTTCTTCTTTATCTTTATAAGATATAATAATAGATAGCATTTGTATAGCGCAGTTCCCTGCTCAACAGCAAGCTCTATGCGTGACCAATTTGAGCTGTCCATGTTATACTGTATTATTGTTATAATTATCATTATTGTAAATGTCAGCTAAATTCAGTACTGTGTTAAGATTAATAAGGTTGATCTAGATTTTTTGTCTGAACACTAGACTATATATCTTGCCATTAAATTCTTCTCATCATATTACCCAATTAAAGCAAAATGTTCATCTTTCTTTTTCCTTTCCAATAACGCCAAACGTTTTGCTTTCCTCAGAGGGTCAGATTCTCATCAACCCGGAGACCATGGAGATCCTGGGGGGTGTCTCCGGCCTGGCCCCGTCTCTCCTGCTGGTTGTCATGGTAACCGCAGTGGTCAGCTGGTGGACTGGGTGCCAGAGCTGATAACTTCCACCCTGTGTTGAATTTTGTGTGTGTGTGTGTATGTGTGTGTCCGGTCTGCTGCTAGCTGATGAAAGTGAATCTGTCTAGAACAACATCTCCTTTATTTTACGAGGGACTTAATTTAGTTTTGTCAACAGACGATGAAATATGAATAATTGGGACATACCGGTACCGTAAACTCGGGTGACTGTGGCAGGTAACTTGGAAAAATGTTCAAATATTTAGATGATTCTTTGTTTTGGGAAAAATGTTCAAATACTTAGATGATTCTTTGTTTTGGGAAAAATGTTCAAATATTTAGATGATTTTTTGTTTTTGGAAAAATGTTCTAATATTTAGATGATTCTTTGTTTTGGGAAAAATTTTCTAATATTTAGATGATTCTTTGTTTTGGGAAAAATGTTCTAATATTTAGATGAATCTTTGTTTCCCAGAAGTATTAGGGTATTGGATCTTGTGTCTGTGTACAGTAAAATGCAGCGTATCCAATAATGAACATTGCCTGAATGAAACAAGCCCGAGATATTTTTAACTTTTTCAGTTTTTGCCAGCAGCTGTTGGTTGTGAATGTTGTGTATTGTGTAAAACTTGTGTGCCTTATCTTCTCACATTTGATTCGAAGAGAAAGAGAAAGAGATGGTGAGAGAGACAGAGAGGGAAAGAATTTTGGTTCCCTTTTTAAGTGATTTGTATGGAAGTGTTTCAGACTTTTGTAACTGTTATATGGCACTTCTTTTTTTTTTTTTTCCGCAAACTGTTAGGTAGAAATTACAGAATGTTCTGCTTTAGTGTCAAAAGAGGACTCATTTATCATAAAATCTGAAATATTTCAGTAGTTGCTAAATAAATGTCTGAAACATATATTATGTACATACATTATATTAATAATTATTATCCGTTCCTGAAGAAAATGTTTTTTATTCTTTTGGGCCTGGAGTACAAAACAAAAGTTTGGACACGACTTATTTTTACTCGTGATTATTCATGAGACAGAGCTGATAGATAGGACCCCCCCCCCTCCCCCTCCCTCCTTGTATGTGGGTGTTTGTTTATGTATGCGTGTAAGAAGATCTCACTTGAATGAGGAAGCTCTTGTGATGTCATATCATCATTCCTGTGGAAGGAAACCATTCCGATCGTTAACTATATTTAGAACTTTGATTTTTATTGTTTATTTTATTTGGGTTTGACGGCCACTGTGTTCGGTGTTGAAATAGAGGAAGGGTCAAAACCTCAGTCAATTTACTGCTGCTAGGGTCTTGAAAACTCTTTGGACTCAGTCAGTATCATGCTGGACTGTGGTTCGAATCTACAATGGGTGTGTTCTTAAACCAGGGTTGTTTGGAGCATATCTATTCTTCTCCATCCAACTAGCATGGACTTTCTGAGATGGGTGCTGTGTTGCAAGTGCCGTAAAACACTTACTAAAACTAAAACAGAGATGGGCGTTAATTAGATTGTCCCACGTCATTAAGAGCACAGAAAGTGTTAACAGTGGTGTGTTAACCCATGCGATGCCATCATACTGTTACACATGGACTTGTCCAGAGTAGTAGTCTGTTATTTTGGTCACATGTGTTGTAAATAATTTCCTTTATAATTTTATGCATGTACAAACATTTTTAAAGTGTCCATAATTTTCCAGCACTTATCATCTACATTGTCCCTATCAACTGCATTCCTCATCTTTTACTTTTACTTTTGTCAGTTTAAAGTTGGTTTGGGAAAACTTTCTGTTGGGATGAAGTGTATTGTGAGTTGTGAGTGAGTCACGTAGACTACGGTAGACTGATGAAGTGTGTGTTGTGTGAGCGAGTCGCGGAGAGAGTGAAGCTGTTTGTTCTGAAAATGAAACGTGAGCAGAGTGTGATTGAATGAGAGAAGGAGAACGTGGTGTCTTTCTGAACATGTTTGTTTTATGCTTCCAGCTGTCTCTCAGTCATTCTTTACCACCTTTATTTACCGACCTATTTTTCCCTGTCCAGTCATTCGAGTTGAACACTTTAGAGCCCTAATGCCACCCTGCTTCTAGTCTCTCCTAGTTTGTGTTTATTTCTCTTTATTTCTGAGCTTCTTTTTCAGCGAGTGATACAGTTGTGTATCTCACTGTTCTCTTGCATGAAATCTTGTCTTTCATGAGCTTTGTTTAAACATTTCTTGGTGTGCGTATGTAAGGAAGAGATGACAGGAGCTAGAATGAATGCTTTCTTGTATCAGGAAGAACGTGTGACCGGTTTATGATTTAAATGATTGTAAAAGAAGACGATTATATTATATCTATATTAGTGGAAGGGAATGTTCTTCTGTTTTATGTCACAACTCACAATTTTATTGTGTATGTATATGTTGTCATACCAACAAACAGCAAACATTTCTGTTGTCTTTCGAACATTTTCATGTGAGTAGCACTTGTTTTGGCATTGTAGATTCCATCAGTTTATTTACAAGAAATGTTCTGATGAATTCCACCGACTATTTGAAATTTTGAATGCGCCTTAGCTTGAACCTGGTACTACTGCACTATGCACAAATGCTCGCCTACAATGACTGGAAAAGAAAGCTTCTAAAGAAGATAATGAGTCACCTGTTTAAAAAGTGAAATGAACTTTGGTTGGCCATGAAATATTCCGAACAGTTTGCAATGACAGATTTAGTCCAAGCTGATGGGGCAAGTGCTAACTACTCTGCCTTGTCTAAACGTCTTGCGCTGGCTGTAATTTTTACGTTAACTGACCTTAAAATATATAAAATGGCCGCTCTCTCGTCAGAATTTTGAGAATTTTTTCTTTTCTCCTGTTCACAATATTCTGAATTATTTCAGTTAGTGCTCGTACATCAATTCTCTCCGAGATCATATCTATAGGAGTAAGTTCTCTTTTACTGCTTAAATACATTTGTTTTTTGCGAATCTCTCTCCAACTAATCTGACCAATGATACTCAAAGTAGTCGTAGATCTGTCGAATTTACTCCTTGTTTAATACTCTGTTCTCAACATTCAGGTAATTTACTAGAGTCATTTACTCAGGGCATACGCCCCACCCTCTTCCTCCCCCTCCCCACTTTTTTCCACCGATCTGTTTGCTCTTCTGTTCCTTTACTTTTTGAAAAAATCCACTGTTGTTATGTAAATCCTTCCTTGTTTCAGGTCTGTTGCTTTTATGGTTTATAACCGAGCAATGTTTTTATTGCGTCCTTTTCCAGTAATTTTTTAAAATGAGCTTTTTCATTCTTACCCGTATTGAAAATTCCATGTTTGAAATAACAACGTTGAGGAGATTTTCAAGTGCCACATACGTCTGTGTACATTCCACATGTCATCTGTACATTCCTTAATAAAAACTTTTGTATTTTAGCTGTGTACATCTCAGAGTTGGTGTTTTGTGTGGGTTTTTATGACATTGTCGTCAACAATTTGCTTTAGTGGGTGGTTTAAGGGCCCACTGGTTTGTCTTAATTTTCTTTCCCTCTGTTGTTTCTGTCTGTCTGTCTGTCTTAGTGGGTGGTTTGAGGAATTTTTATGTTTGTTATTCTCTTGTAACACCTCTAATCTTCTGGCGCTCGTATGATCATGACCCTATGCTGTTACGAGCGCCGTAAAACCTCTACTAAAACTATCTCTGTCTGCAATTGTTTCATGGGAATGGGGAAAAGTTGAGGGGAAGGGGAAGGGGGGAGGGGTGGGGGACAAATAAGCGGGCATATGCACCGCACTCCAGCAGGAGGGGCAACATCCCTGAGTGAAGAGAAGGAGTGACTCACAAAACGTGCCTTCCATCCTTTTAATGAAGGAATAAGTTGTCCCTGTGGTTTTATGCACTCGCAAAGGACTACTATTAGTACTATACTATACTATAGTAGTCCTTGGCACCCGCATTAATTTAGCAAAATTTGATCTTTTTTTTTTACATGCATAATTTCTGATTATTTTCCTTTATAATTCTTTGTTAAAATTAACAGAATCGCATAATTAAATTTCACCTTACCTTTTTAGGTCCAGTTTGCTTAATTTCAGTTGCCTATTTTTTTTTCGGCATAAAACCGCGGGGACAGAATAAGTCCCTGGTTGCGTTGCTCCTCCAAGCTGTACCTGACTCTGGTCTGGTGACGCCCACCTTTGAATAGGGCGTGTGTGTGTGTGTGTGTGTGTGTGTGAGGGGGGGGGGGGGGGGGGGGGGGGGGGGGG